GTAGCCCGTCCGACTCCCCATCCGGTCCCCACGCTGACTCTGCCTCAGGGCAGCCTCCACGTCCTGCCCAGGCCGTCATGGCCATCAGGTCGCACGTGGAGAAGGTCCTGACGTGACCATGCAGATTCCCTCTCAAGCAGCTCCCTCTTCTAGACACCAGCAGCCCAGGATGCCAAGGCACGCCGTCGGCTCATTGATCTGGAGAACTCGACACAGGAAGCCAGGGAGACTTTAGAAAAGGAAGACGCCTGCATTTCACCTGATTTAACCTCGTGACCAAGTGGCAAGGCAGCCCTGAGATTCGATAAAGAGCAGTGAACACAGGACCTCATCTATTCTCCAAAATATTCCAGAAACAGCACTGAAAGAAACACCTGTGTGCAAAAGACGGCTGTATACACGGAAGCTTCCTTTAGTCTGGAACGCACGCTGCTAGGCTCCGCCACGTGAAAGGCTGGCTTCTGCCTATGGGAAGAGGCAGTGTCTACTATAAAGAATATCCATATGTGTGTTGTACATTTATTTAGAGATAGTAGACTAGAGTATGAATATAAACCCTAACTTGTTAGGCATCATATGCCCATCTAACATATATTTCTCAAAGCACAGGAATCCAAATAGTATTTATCATAACATAAAAAGATCTGAGAGTAGAAAAATCTATGACTATTGAACAATAACTTTCTTAACTTTAGGGTAACAAGGGAGTTTTTAATGAGTGCAGACTTAGACTGTAACGATGTATTCTGAAAACAAAATTCTTCACGCAAAAGACCAGCCTATGATAGGTCTACTGTACAATAAACACGACTTTGCTTAATTAAATATGAACTTAACCTGAAGTGAATTTCTCAGGTATTATCCCCTGCTGTTCAAATAAGCGGAAGGTGATCAGGACACCATGAGTTCCATAACAAGGAAAACCACGCAAAAGTGTTTGATTATCTATCCACCACCTCCAGAAGATAACACAATCTTAAGTAGTCTCAGTCTCTAACTTGTATGATGAGAGAAAAGGAGCTTCTTCCCTACCCATCTTATGCAATCAACATGAAGATCAAACCCAATAGTGTGATTACGTGTGCCCACTGGAAATGTACATTATTAGTACTGTTTTGGTTCAGGTAAGCAACAGTGTTGGAGGCTCTTTGAAATTAAAATAAATACTTAATTCTTTTTTTTTTTTTTTTTTTTAGACGGAGTTTCGCTCTTGTTACCCAGGCTGGAGTGCAATGGCGCGATCTCAGCTCACCGCAACCTCCGCCTCCTGGGTTCAGGCAATTCTCCTGCTTCAGCCTCCTGAGTAGCTGGGATTACAGGCACGCGCCACCATGCCCAGCTAATTTTTTGTAGTTTTAGTAGAGACGGGGTTTCACCATGTTGACCAGGATGGTCTCGATCTCTTGACCTCGTGATCCACCCGCCTCGACCTCCCAAAGTGCTGGGATTACAGACGTGAGCCACCGCGCCCGGCCCAATTCTTAAATTATAAATAATACTCCTCCTAAAGCCTGTGGGCTCCTGTTGTAATAATCTGGGGGTTTGCATATATTTGTTTTATCTAAAACAAAGCCTCACAGTAAAGTCCCCATTTCAGTTTATAATAGAGATAAAAATACCCGACTGGTTGAACAAATAATGGCATCCAGCCGGGGTAAATTGCCTGAAACTTTCTCTGCTCTCAAGGCTGAGGCCAGCGTGACCTTGTCCTAGCAGCTTCACCAGCATGCCCTGGCCTCTGCACTCAGGTGGCCACCGTGCCAGGCAGGGTGGGCACTGGGCTCCGAGCTCTGACCACATCTGTGTGTTACAAAAGAGGCATTATCAACTTCGGGGGAACCTGCTACTGGCCCAGGGACATGGCAGTCACTGTGAATGCTACCGAGGAGCATGAGAGGCAGCCTCAGGATGCTGAGCCGGAGCTGCAGCCATCAGACACTGGTGGGAAACCCCAGCTTTTAGGGAACACATGATTTCTGCGAAGCCACTGAAAGGGAGGACAAGGGGATGTCTCTGGCGTGCACGGTATGGGGTCCCCTGTACTTAGCCGCACGCCCCACATTAAAGATGCTGCTGGCATGGCACACATGTACACTGTTGATAGTGGTTTTGGCACTAAATTTAGCAGTAAGGTAAAACATAACATGCGCAGCAAGTAAGGATATTCAAATAGGAGACGGGCAGATGTACGCCTTTCAAAGCCTCCTTTTAATACATTAAACGTCATTAGGAGTTTGATCACGTAACATGAGTGCTCTGTCAACAGAGCTGTCCTGTTCCTTTGATACAGAAGCTTCTTGGAGATTTCTGACCCTGATGGGGCATAAGAGACCTGGAGGTGTTCCATCCAGGTGGAGTACCTGCAGGTGACGCTGGCTAATTGGGGTCTTAAAACACCCGTGTGGGGCTCCTCCAATGGAGACATCTTTCTCTGACAGAAAGGCTTCGTGGGTGTGTCTCCAGGAATCAGGCCTCTGAGGTGTTTCATTCTTAGGAGAAATACATTTGTTTGCCTTAGAAATCAAAAAGCCTTGGGTGTCCTTCCAGAGAAACTGAGGCACAGGAAACTGGGTGGAAGGTCCCCCAGAGGGGCAGGCTGTTGGTTCTAAGTGGCTGCCTGGGACCTGGGATTCTCATGAGAGCTCCCTGAAAGGGAGTGACGTATCACACTCTACTGCCAGGATGCTCAGGGAGCTGGGGGCACCTATCCACACTGGTGCAGGAAGGCTGATCTCACAGCACCTCACCGTGGCTGCACCCTTCCAAGAGGTTCACTTGATTCCTTTAAAGGCCATATCATAGGAATGACAGAAGTTACTTCCTTGGGGAGCCAGATGCTGAACACGAATTCTGAAACCAGGCACCCCACGACTGCCTGTGAATTATTTCATGGTCCTGCTACCTTTCCACAGCTGTTTGCTTCAGCACCTCCTTCCTCTGTGCTCTGGACTCAGCATTTCCTGAGCACCTGAGTGTGGCCACCATGCCAGGTCTGGCCACAGCATTAGAAACCCTGCGTCCCGAGGCACAGCCAGCCACTTGTTCCTTTGGCAGTGCTGTCACACATCCACTGCCCATTTAGTTACATTTCTCTGGAAAAAATATCTTTAATTCTACTTTGCTTCCTAGCTTTTAAAAAGTGTTCAAGTCAGAATAAACAAACCCTACATAGACACATTCTAAAGCTATTTCCATAAGGCTTCTGGCTACCTTTCAAAGTATATCACTTTGTATTCTTAAAGAACGATTATTTAAAATATGACCATACATAAACCAATATTGAATTTTTGATTCTAGAAAACGGAGAGCAAAACTTAAAATCTGGTTAAGGCCCCTGGTGTAAATGACACCTATTTACAGGTCTCCTATCCACACCAAACACGAACGCCTCCTGATTTCCAAACAGGATGAGAACATGAACTAGCCGCCATCTTTTTAGAAAGCCATGGTCAAGTTACAAATCATTCATCAGTCTACGCAATTAATTTGGTCACTCAAAACGAAGCTCACTTAATACAGTGTCCAGAAATCACTTGCGAGATTGATCTACTCTCCCCAACTTTCCAAATATTTTACCACACAAATCTATTGTTTTAATTCTTAGCATCCCATGAATGACACTGGTGTCATTGCATCCCCAGTAGATTTAACAGAGATGATGGTAAGTCTGTTGCTGTGTGTTCTGATAGGCTTTCTCACCTAGCTCTCTACCACAGCGAGCCAAAAAATCTTGGCAGACTAATTTTAATTTATGCAATGTATGTGTGTATGCATGTGCATGTATGTGTATATCTACATATCTATCTGTCATCTCTATGTCTATCTGTGCCTGTGCGTATATGTACATGTAAGAATCTTAAGCCACTGTAACAATCTAGGATTATTTCATAAAATGCAGGTTTCCTAGTAGAAACTATTCTGACTTCTGAAGGAGTAGCGCTAATTTAAGCCTGCACATGAGATTAGCAACAAGTAACTCACATCTCCCCAGTGTACGGAGGCTCTACCCACGGCTGATACCACTGTCCTTGTGTCCAGAAATTAGTTCTCCTGGAAATCAGACTCTTGAAGAACTTTTGAGCCCAAGGGAGAAGGGTAAGAAAGAAAATTCCCTTCACTTTCAACATATTTTGGCATTTCTATGAGGAAAACCCTAAGCCAATAAAGATGATATCTAGGCTTTGCAAAAAACAAAACAGAAAACAAGAAAACAAAATGCACACAAACCCAAAACTCCCATCTCTTTCCTCAAGACATGACTTCTATGAAAGGGTTAGTGTTGGACTCGTGCATCTGACAGTGACAGGACGCTGGACACGAAAGCCACGTCACCGCGAACGCATTGCCGGGGACACCCCTGACACACACTTGGCGGCCTTCCCCCTCACGTGTCTCCCAGTGCTGGAAACGCCCAATCAGAAATGCAGCTCTCACATATGGAAGCAGATGATGAGCTGATTGATTATCTCATATCAATTGTACTTCCTTTCATCCCATTGATGTGACCATCACTAAAGCAAAGCCTTGGCAGTCTACAGACAAAACCCACTCTGCTGGTTGATGCACCAGCCATTAGGCAGGCTTTCCAGCTCCCCTAAGGAGGTAGCTGGGTTAAGCATTCCAACAACACTTTTGCCCACCATTGAATCTCACACATAGAGCATTCAAGAAAATATAATGTTGAAGACCAGGTCTGCTAACTTAACTTCCTTGGTAAATTTTGTTAAGCTAATCAAATAGGTACACCATAAATATCTCAGCAAATAACTGGCAGCCAACCTGAATAAAACTTAGACTGAAATAAAATCTGAAGCCTAGCAGAGAATCTGAAGAATTATTTAACAGAAGTGTTCAGTTCATATAAGGAGTTAATTTTCTCAGTATTGACGGAGCAGAGTGATTTATTTACACTACAATCAGTCACAGTAACGGCCGGCAATTCACCTTGAACAGCGGACCCAAATCACGACTTGCTACGTTGCTAATATTTTAAAGATTACCGTTTTCTTCTTCCTCCTCTTCTTCCTCCTCCTCTTCCTCCTCTTCCTCTTCCTCGTCCTCCACATCCTCTCCGTCTTCGTCATCGTCCTCCTCCTCCTCCTCGATCTCCTCCTCCTCCTCCCGGTCCCCCTCCTCGTCCTCCTCGTCCTCATCCCCGGGCTCCTCGTTGTCCTCAGAGTACTCCTCCCCCTCGTCCTCCTCCTTCTCGTCCATGTCTTCCGTCCCATCACTGCCATCACACTCGTCCACGGAGGAGCTGTCTGCTTTCACGGCAAATGGCTTTCGCTTGGGAGCAGGTTCCTGGGGCTGTTTATCTTGTGTTTTCCTTTTTTTCGCCAAGGGACAACCATATACACTAATAAAAAAAAGTAGAGAAGGCGGGGAAGAGAGAGAGAAAAAAGATCTGTGTTACCGTCTTTTAAAGTCAGACCAATCAAGGCATTTAAGGGTTATCATGAATGTCAGCAGCACAAACACCAGAGGGACGAACGCACCCACGTTCCCCGCAGTGTGCTGAAATCCACTAATGACGTGATAGCGCAGATAAATACAGCTCGCATTTGTCTAGTTACCATGAACATTTAGTCTGAGCCTCCTAGGTCCTCATTCCCCTAATTCCAGAGAACACGGAGATCCTACTAAAATTCATGAGGTTGGTTTGCATGATGCGTATAACATGCAATTGACAATACAATTTATTAAACATTTTGCCAAATATATGCTATGTGTAATAGACATCTAAAGCAAGATTTATTTTAATCACATTATATTTACATATATATTTATGTAAAATATAAAAATGCCTTTGTCGTGAAAGAGCTTTGGATATATTTGGATTAGTATATTTTGCGGATTAAATTATATCTTTAGACTTGATAACCTACTGAAAGAAGATGAGCCATAGTGCTTGTCAATGTTGTTATGAAAGCAACTGCGTAATTCAAAGTTGTGCAGAACTTCCCAGGCTTAGACGTTATTAGCCCCACACCAGCCTTCCAGAAAAGACCTTCAGTGTTACCGATAATCACCACGAAATCATGCTGAAATTGCCCCAGACTTGGAGAAGACCCTTACAGCAGAAGCTCACAGTCTTTCCTCGAGAAAGAGCAATTTTCAAAGCTACATTACAAATTCATTTATTTCCAGAAATAATATATAAACCACACACACACACACACATAGGTGGGGTAGGGGAGACAGAGGCAAAACTGCTACAGACAGACATTCCGTTTGTGCAGAGTGAGATGTGTGACCTCCCTCACTACTGATTATTCCGCAAGGGGGTCCGGCGGGCCTCGCCTCGCTTGGCTTTGGATCTCGGACGCTGAGTCCCTGAGCAGTGTGTACTATTTGGGAGACTCCTCTATGTTGGGTGCTGAGCTATGCTGGAGTCCAGAGGTGAGCAGCGCAGATCCTCACATCAAGGCTCTATGTTCTAATGGGGGATTTAGACAGGTCAGAAATACCATTTTAGAACCACTCACTCCGGTATACACCGTGCGCCAAGCACCTGGCGCGTCATAGACACTCAACAGGCGTTTGTGGAATGAATGGATGAAGTGGGATAAATCCCACGATGAAAACGTGCAGAGGGCACTATGTACTGTACACAGAGGGCAGGCATTCAGGTTGCTGGCAAGGCTTTCAGGAAGAGGTGAGGCTGGGATGAGCTTTCACAGGTACATAAAGGATGTCTGGGAGGGAAAGAAAGCATTTCAATACATCCCAAGTAAGACAATTTGCAAAAGACACGAATGCATGTAAGAACACCACGGGCTCGGACAACTAACACAAATGCAAACCCCAAGGGCTGGAGCAAGGCGTGTGTGGAGCGGGCTGGGCAAGGCGGTGGAAGGTGAGGGTGCAGAGTCAGGCGGGGCCAGACCAACCTTGGGGACCAACGGTGGGACTCTGGACTTTCATCCAGGAAATGCGAAGTGATTCAAGTTCTTTCAAGCACTTAATAATGCAATTAAAATGCATGCCAGAAAGGTAATGGCAAGGTGCAAAGAGGAGGACGGAGGAGAGGAGGTGCGGGCTGCAGATGTGGGGGCAGAAGATAGTCAGGGCCGGGTTCAGGGACTGGGATGAGACAGTGCCCTGAGGAGGGTGCCCAGATCCTCAGACAAATGAGAGGCCAGGAGCACCACAGGCCCTCAGGGAGCCCCTTGGTACAGTCAGACCCTGGGTGAGAGGGTGTTGAGGGAGAGTGTGGGAGCAGGACGCAGTGCGTGGACCCGGAGGAGCTTGTGTGGTCCGTGGCAGGTCTCATTGGTTGACTGACCTTGGACAGATGTTCAACCTTACACGTACGAGTGTCATCAGCTGTAGAGGGGGAAAAATGCTAATCTCACATGGCCACTTTAAGGATGAAATGGAAAAAAAATATATATATGTAAAGAGGTTAGTACCATACCTGGCACCTACTAGTTGCTCAATGAATGACAGGGACTGCTGTGTAACAGTGACAATAACAATAAACTTCTGCCATTTTTATTTTTATTCAGGTATCCAGTTATCCAACAAATACGCCACTCCTTAAAGTTTTGGAAACGAATGACTGTCCTGATTGTTTCTACTATCGATACTTCCAAATCAACAGGGCCGCACAGCAGGGGGTGGGCGGCAGGCAGGGCCACGCTTTACCGCATTCACAGGGCCTTCCCGCCACTGGCATCGCCACCCGAGCTCCGCCTCCTGTCCAATCAGCGGCCGCATTGGATTCTCACAGGAGCTGTGCTTGCGAAGGATCCGGGTTGCGCACTCCTGATGAGAATCTAACGCCTGATGATCTGTCACTGTCTCCCACCACCCTCAGATGGGACCGACTAGTGGCAGGAAAACAAGCTCACACTGATTCTACATTTCGGTGAGCTGTAGAATTATTTCATTATATATTACAATGTGGTAATAAAACTAAAGTGCACAGACAAGGTGACACGCCTGAGTTCTGTCCTCCACACCCCCAATCTGTGGAAAAGCTGTCTTCCATGAAACGAGCCTCTGGTGCCACAAAGGCTGGGGATGGCTGTCCTGGAAGACAGGAACATGGTGGAGGGGCGGGAACTGAGGGACTCCATTTCCACTTTGCTGTGTGACTCAGGGAGTCCCTCATCAATGTGGATGTCGCTTTTTAAATCTGTAAGACGAGGCAGTTAGATGACTTCTAAGACTGTATCAGCCCTGAAACACTAGGGCCAAATGTTATTATCCCTTAAAAACGTAATAAGCAAACAAGAATAATAATTTTAATAACCAGACAATTCAAGAAAAAAAAAATCAGTCTACATAGCATTTCAAATATGAAATAAACAGATTTCTGAGATTCCCTTTATGAAACATTTTCGATTAATCTGAGATAATTATCTCAGAGCCAGTGTTGGAGGCGTACCGTCACACCGTGCCAAGTGACCACCAGACAACCCAGCCAGTCTGAGCCCGGCCCAGCCCACCTCCTCACAGGGCCAGCTCCATCTGAGCGGACTGGTTCTGGGGGATGCCCTCTGTGTGTGTCCAGATAACGGAGGAGGAGATGCAGCTGTGCATGGATGGCTTCTCCAGAGCCTGGCCTGGGTGTCGCAGGTCATAACGACCGCTGCTCTCCCCAGCTTCCTTCTCCTTCACTGGTGCATGATACATTTGTCTGAGATAGTCCGTTCTGCACTGAGTCCACCTGCACAGCACCATCCACCAACACAGATAACCAGGCCCATCCGTGACCACCTATCAGTCCTGATCGGTGGGTAATGAGTCACCCCTCCTGGCTTTGTGCTATTCAGCGAGGTGACTGGAAGCTCCCCAGAGGGTGTAAGGTGGGGCTCCTGTTTCATCTTCTCCATGTTCATTCACACATGCGGCTGCCCTGCATTTCAAGATGGCTCACTCATTGCTCAGGTTGTGCGACGTTGGCCCTGCGAGGTTCAGAGCAGGGAGTGGAGATTCTCCTTAGCATGGATGCTGCAGTCAGGCGACAGCAGCACTGGGCTTTGCTCATGACCACCTGGAGCTGCTGAGATTTGGGAGGACAACATGTCTGGCTATGAGAACATTTGGGAGGAGGGGGTCCGGGCTATACGCATTGCCATGGTGGGTGTCTGAGTCCTAACTCACACAGCATGTCTGGGCCATCGAGGCATGGGAGGCGGGCCGCCTCCTGTCCGGATGTCCTCTGAACTGCCCTTGTCCACACAGCAGCAGCCCCTGCACCTGCAGCCGGCTGGGCTCCCTCACATACTTCCATTGCCTTTCCTGTCTTCCGGCAGCTGCCGCGGCTCCTGCTCCATTAGAACTCGCTGGCATGGGAAGGTGGTAGAGGGCAGAAGAGGGACAATAAATCATCAAAGTAGAAAAAACAGTAGATCAAGGATGCTGGAGAAGGTAAGTGCATGTGGAAAGTCAAGTGCACACAGAAAAGAAAAGTGAGGAGGCGTTCATGTGAGTCTCTGCCAGGACAATATTGGCATAAGCCTATCAAGCAGGGTCTGGTTTAATACGGGACACATTTCACACACAGCCTGAGTGTGTCTAGGCACCCTGATGTGGAGAGCTCACCACACAACCAGGGGCCTGGGTTCCAGGCTTGGCCTTGTTAACACCTCTTTGAGTACCCAGACTCTGGCTGGGCCTCAGTTTACCTATCTATGTAATAGAAGCATCAGCAGTTCCTTTTCTGCTCTAAAGCTTCGAATGTTTTAAATTTCCTAAGTGATTCCCTTCTCGTGTGGGAACTTCCTAGTGGAGTGCGGGTTTCAACCCCTTCCAGTCTCCTGCTTTCGCCTCCATTGGTTTCACTTCCCTATCCCTACACTTGGCAAACCATTTGGATTGTGGAATCATCCGGCCTCAAGCTTCCAGTGCTTCCTGCCATGGGCGTGGCTCATAGCTCAAGCCTTTCTATTTGTTCACGTAACATCTGAATCCAATCTTACCCCAGTGACAAGCGAGTGCCCTCTGCTCCTTCTCTATCTGGTCCTGCCTCCTACTGCCCGTTCCTGGTATCAACTTCCAGTGTGACGACAAATTCAACCACCAGGCCCATTTCAGTCCATCTGCGTTCAACTCCACGTGGCTCAAGACCCTGCTTCTCGGTCTCCAGAGGTTTAGCGTCCTTCACAGGGAGGCCTTGGAGAGCAGCTCTGGGACGTGGGTTGGGGAGTGTGGCCCCTTCTGCCCTCGTATTCTATGAATACCATGTCTGCTAACGGGGTGGTGAGCTGGAAGGGGAGTGAATGTGGGGGCACTGGCGGTGCCACCCAGCCACACCGGGAAGGGCTCAGTGTAGCACTGCGGCCTTGTCCAGGACCTCAGCTGACCCATCAGTGCTGCAGACATGCTGTGCACTTCCTGGTCACCTCC